CAGATACATGGGAACACCAGCCCCCTGCAAGTTCCCCTCCGAGCCACCCCCCCATCCTGACTTGGAAATATATCCCTGTTTCCTTCAGTGTTGCTGGGTCAAAATCCTGGAATTCCCTCCCTAAGGGGCATTGTAGGTCAACCCACAGCACATGGACTGCAGCGGTTCAAGAAGGCAGCTCACCCCCACCTTCTCAAGGTGGGGGGCAACTAGGGACAGGGCAATAAATGCTGGGCCCAGTATGGGCTAGATGGGAGGAATGGCCTGTTTCTGTGCTGTAAACACTGAAAGGTATCAGTCACAGGAGAAAAGACACAGTGACACTGTGGGTATGAAACTGGCTGACCGATAGTAAATGGACAGTTAATGGTCAATGGATATTTTTCAGGTTGGTGATGGAGGGGTCAGCTTGGAGACCCCTTGCTTTTCCTGATAATTTATGAATGTTCTGGATCTCGCTGTTCAGGGGACAATCTCAAAGTCTGCAGGAGGTGACCAGGCTTGCGGTTTCTGTCCGTTTATCCAGCCCGAAGGCGGACAGGGCTTTGTGACAACGACGACAGGCGCAGATGGGATCGATCAGGCTGCACCCCTGCTTGGGAGTCACAGGGTCGTGGGTTCGAGTCCCAGTGTGGACAGCCACGCCAAAGGAATGCTTGAGGACTCTGGGTCTATACTCAATGGAGAGAAAAATGGGGAGAAATGGGGAGAAAATTCAGAAGCCTGAAGTGCAAAGAGACTTGGGAGTTCTAATCCAGGATTCTCTCAAGGTAAACTTGCAGGTTGAGTCAGTAGTCAGGAAGGAAAATGCAATGTCTGCATTTATTTCGAGAGGACTTGAATATAAAAGCAGGGATGTACTACTGAGGCTTGAAAAAGCTCTGGTCAGGCTACATTTGGAGTGCTGTGTGCAGTTTTGGGCCCCATATCTCAGGAAGGATGTACTGGCCCTGGAGCGGTTCAGAGAAGGTTCACGAGAATGGTACCAGGAATGGAAAGCTTAACATATGAGGAACATTTGAGGACTCTGGTACTATACTCATTGGAGTTTAGAAGGATGAGGGGGCATCTAATTGAAACTTACAGAATACTGAATGGCCTGGACAGAATGGATGTTGGGAAGATGTTTCCATTGGTAGGAGAGACTAGGACCTGAGGGCACAGCCTTAGAGTAAAGGGAAGATCTTTTAGAACGGAGATAAGGAGAAACTACTTCAGCCAGAGAGTGGTGAATCTATGGAATTCACTGCCACAGAAGGCTGTGGAGACCAGGTCATTGAGTACATTTAAGACTGAGATGGATAGGTTCTTGGTTATCAAGGGGACCAAGGGTTACGGGGAGAGAGCACGAGAATGGGGTTGAGCAACTTATCAGCCATGATTGAATGGCAGAGCAGACTCGATGGCCTCATTTCTGCTTCTATGTCATATGGTCTTAAAATCTCAGGCTGCTCTCGCAGTGTGCTATCGAGGGAGCGCTGCACTGTCAGAGGTGGTGGCTCTCAAGTCGGCCTTTGGGTGATCTGATTGCTCTCAAATGTGCGATGCTAAGGGGGCTTGACAAGATATTCCCCCTTACGGCATAGACTCGAAGGAGGAGAGAGTGTTTAAAAAGGGTCTCCCATTTAAACTGGAGATAAGGAGTAACCTTTTTTCTCAGGGGGATGGTGAGAGGCGGAATTCTCCTCCTCACAGCGTGGTGCGGTAGGGTGTGTAAATAGTTTTACAGAGAGATTCTGGTTGAATGATGAAGGGAATCAGAGGCAGAGGGGAAATTGGAGCTGTGGTGCCAACTCTGATCGGTGGAGTTAGCTAGACGGGCGGATTGTAAAATGTTAATATTTGCAGGAGCATTTAAACTGAGTCAAACCCAGAAATCTGGATCTGTGGAGATAACTGGAAGAAACCTGTAAATGCAGAACAGTCCTGCAGAGCAGGAGACCATTCAGTTCACTGATTCTGTTCTGGGAGCTCCCACTGTCCTGCTCCTTCTCCAAATCTCTGAAAACGTTCTCCCTCAAATGTGCTCAAACGTACAAGGGGTTAAAATGGAATCTGCCTTGTCAGACAGTGCGCTCCAAATCCTCCTCATCTATTCCCGACAGAAACAAACTCTCCCTCATTGTCTATGCCTCAACTACTCAACCAATGGGAACACTTCCTCATCATTGACCTCTCATGATATTGAGTGTCCCAATCAAATCTCTTGGCCACATTCTCGAACCGCTGCAGTCCATGTGCTGTGGGTTGACCCACAATGCCCCTTAGGGAGGGAATTCCAGGATTCTGACCCAGCGACACTGAAGGAACGGCGATATATTTCCAAGTCAGGATGGTGAGTGACTCGGAGGGGAACTTGCAGGGGGCTGGTGTTCCCACGTATCTGCTGCCCCTTGTCCCTTTTTGGCAGGAAACTTATCGATCACAGAATGAAAGGGACAGTGACACTGTGGATACAAAATTGTCTGAAACAGAGTGTAACGGTCAATGGATATTCTTCAGGCTGGAGGAAGGTTTGGAGTAGAGTTCCCCAGGTGTGAGTGTGGCTTTTAGTGATTTGGATCTTGCTGTGCAGGTGACAATTTCAAAGTTTGTGGATGTCACCAGACTTGGGCCAAACAGTAAACTGTTGTGGGGGTGGGGGGTGTTGGTGATGGAGAGAGAGAGAGAGAAGCAGTGCGGAGCTCCAAAAGGACACTGACAAGTGGGTGCAGCGGGCAGAGAGGGGGCAGCGAGGGGGCAGATGAGGTTCAATACAGAGAAGTGAGAGGTGATGTACTTTGATTGGAAGGACATTGCGAGACAGTACAAAATAGGGTGGGTATAATTCTAAAAAGGGGTTGCAGCTGGAGCAGGGAGAGCTGGGGGTATATGTGCACAGATCACGGACGGTGACAGGAAAGGTAGAGAGAGAGCAGTGAATAAAGCACAGTGTCCTCAGCTTTATTAACAGGGGCACAGAGTACAGGAGCAAGGAGGTGAAGCTGAACTTGTACAAGACCCGTGTTAGACCCCCAGCTGGAGTATAGTGTCCAGTTGTGGGCCCCACATTATGGGAAAGATGTGGACCCATCGGAGAGAGAGTGCAGAAGCGATTTACAACAACGGTTCCAGGGATGGTTAATGTCAGCGATGAGGATAGATTGGGGAAGTTGGGACTGTTCTCCTCGGAGAGGAGGCGGCTGAGAGGAAGATCCGATAGAGGCTTTCCAAATCCGGAATGGGGGGCTGGACAGAGGAGCGAGGGAGGGAGAAGCTGTTCCCGCTCGGAAAAGGAACAGGAACGAGAGGGATATAGATTTAAAGTGA